GGCTGCCATGCAGAAAGGCGCGGTGGGGAAGGGGTCGGAGGTGCGCGGCTCCGGGCGGTGCCGGTACCTCAGCAGCCGCATGCCCGCTGTGGCCCCCAGGTAGGTGGGGGTCGCCCGCTGCTGCTCTGCTGGGACGATCTTCATGGCCTTGTCCAGGCAGGGCTTCAGGCTGGCTCCAGCCTCAGCCGGTTTGTCTGCGTAGCTGGAGATGCCGGGTCCTGCAAGAGGGCACCCCGTGATGGAGCGAGCTCAGTGCCACCCAGGAGGGACAGGGCAGTGCAGCACACGTCCACCCATTCCCCTGGCCAAGGGAGCTGTCTGTACCTTCTTGGCAATACTCAGATGTCCCAGTCACAGCCCAAAACTCTGCTGTGTTGGGTGCCATACAGATACCAAAATGAAAACTGCTGACTCAAGGAGCAGTTAGGAACCGCATACAAAAAAACAGGAGAAACCCAGTAATGCTTAGAGACTTCGGCAGAGCTTTTAGGAGGCCCCGTGGGAACATGAAGCCACATGTTATGAATGAAGCTGTGAGGAGATGTTGTGGGAAGAAGAGCCAAGGAAGAAGTTGCACAGGAGAAGGAGCAAACTCTGCACATCCAGCATCCCAAGCTGCCAGTTGATGCACCACCACCAGCTGCAAGACTGGACTGGCTCCAGGAACTGTGCTAACTGGGGGCCAAATTCCTCACCCTCCTCTGGATCCCCCAAGTACTGCAGGGCTCCATAAGGTGCAAACTAGCCCCCCTAACACTTTACTTTGGTTCTTCCACCAGGCCATTTCCCTTTGGCCCAGCTGAAAGACTCCACTCACTGACGATGCTGTGAGAGTCTGGGACAGCGATCCAGGAGGTTGGGAGAGACGGACGGACACGTCCCGGCACACTCACCGGACACAGTGCAGGCCTCCACCTGGGAGACGATGCCAGTGCCGTTCTCCTTGTCTGCGGGCCACCGGTAGATGTAGAGAGCGGTGTGCGTGGAGCCAGCGTCAAACACCAGACCGTACTGGGGGAGGCAGAGGGGACACAGCACGCTCGGGGCTGCACCAAGTGCCACGGCAGTTTCTGAGAGCTTCTGCTCTCACTTCCCTTGCATGAACGTGAGCAGCATGGGTTTGCACACCCAACTTCCTTTTAGCAACCCTGCTCCACCTCTAACCCCGCTGATTTAGCCATTCAAGGGAGTTGCAGCTCAGAAAGTGAAGACGTGCAGGTCAGCAGGGTGATTTGCAGAGCAGGGAGGCATGCAGGCGCGTCCCAAAGGGCTCAAGCTGCCAAAGCTGCTCCCAGACCTTTGGGAGTGGCAAATCTCACAAACTCTGACTATTTTTTAACAGTCAGCCAGCAGAAAGCAACAGGAGGGAGAGATGTAAACCCACCAGGTGACCTGGATGTCTGCAAACAGAGAAGAGAAAGTGTCTGGGGTGGCAGACGGAGCAGTCCCAGGAGGAGGGCTGATCTCTCTCCCATCCTTAGCAAGGAGCCAGAACCGTGGCTGAGGGGGGTGGCTGATCTGCCCAGTGCTACCTTGATTAGGTTAAGCCCTGAAAAGCTGGGCTGGTTATGGAAAGATTTGCAAGCGGAGAGGAAGGCAGGGCTGATGGAAGGATGAGAGGTGGAAAGGGGCTTGGTGGTCATTCCCAGGCTCCCCCAGGTCCCACCGGGCACCTACTTTGTTCCTCGTAGGAAGGGCAGCATCCTTCTTCAGGGTGAGGACCAGGAGGAAGACGGCCACCCCCAGCACTGCCAGCACGGCCGCTAAGCTCCAGCCCACCGCCCTGAGCAGGCGCATCTGCATCCCTGTGCCGGGCTGTGGGGAGGGATGGTCTGTGCAAGAGCAGCCCCAACCCGCCTGCCCCTGCCCCGTCTGTCCAGCGCCTCCTGGGGTCCCGTTCTCCCAGCAGCTCGGGAACCCCACAGCCCCTAAATGACCCCCTGGGACACGGAACAGCCGGGTGTGGAGACTGCAATCCTGCCCCTTGGCCAGCAGCAGAGCAATGCCCTGGGACGAGTGGGGCTGGACCCGGGCGCTCGCCCACCAACAGCTCCCATCCCGGGAAAGGGCAGGGGCGAAGGCTCCCTGCTGCCCGGCCCTCGGGGAAGGGGTGCCCGCGGTCCTGGCCAGCCCTCGCTGTACCTGTGCCAGGAGCACCCTTCCTTCCTCGGGTGTAGGTGCACCGAGCTGGGCAGAGTCCGTTGTTCCCTCTGCCTGTCCCTCCGGGGCACGGCCTCAGGGCAGCCCTGCCAGCCCTGCCTGCCCTGCCTGTGCAGCTCTGCCTGCACCCAGCCCAGCGGAGCAATGCAAAGTGAAAGTGAGGCCTGCACTCGCCTCGGATGTCCGGGTTGCTTCCCGGGCCAGCGCGGGGCGGGAGCTTGACGCTGCCTGCAGTGCAGCCAGGGTAACGGGGACACTCAGCGGCAGCCACTGCCTGCATCGGGGCAGCACCCCAGCCTGCCTGCGCCTCTGCCTGCACCACCCCGGCGTGATGGGAGTCTGGCCATGGGGACAGGTCCCTGGCTGTGGGGACAGAGGGGTCCCTGGCTGTGAGGACAGAGGGGTCCCTGGCCATGGGGACAGGTCCCTGGCCATGGGGACAGGTGGGTCTCTGGCCATGGGGATGGGTCCCATGTGGATGGCTGTGGGTACCCGTCCCTGGCCATGGGGACAGGTCTCTACCTGCCAGGTCCCTCCTGTTTCTGCCCTGGGCCCCCTGCCAGCCTGTCTCTGTGCAATGGGGCAGCGTGGGGTACGGCAGAGCCAGCTGACAGCAGGGGTGCGGGGTGGCAGGCTTGGCCCATGCTTTGCCTTGCAGTGTGTTTATGCAGCAGGTCTGGGGCAGGGATGTCTGTGGGGCTCCCAGACCTCAGCCACTGCCTTTGTCCCGGGGCCAGCCTGCTGGCAGGCTCCCCAAGGGGCAGAGGTACAGGCTGGGCTTGTCGGGAGCTTCACGGGGAGCTGCCCCCCTCCTGAGCTCCTGCCGGGCAGTGCAGGCACCCACACCACCCCCATGGGTGGACGTCTCCCAGGCAGACCCGCTCCTCCAGCAGCGAAGTGGTTAACGCCAAACGCTACTTCCACCCCGGCTCTCCAGCCTCAGCCCCGCTGCCTCCTGGACAAGCACTCTCCTGGGCAGGTTGCTGGTCTGGGGCCAAGGGGAGGGCCATAGCAGGGACTGGGACAGCCTTTGTCCCAGGAGCGGGGCTCCGCACTCCAGGTACACGCTGACACCACGGCGAGCGTGGCGGTGCCGGGAGCAGCAGCCGAGAGCAGCCCGGGGTAAGCCGTGGGCAGGGGAGGGGGCCGGGGTGCCCCGATGGAGCTGTGCTCAGAGGGGCGGTGGGTGGGTGCACCCTGGCCAGCAGCACAGCTGGTGCTGGGGATAAACACGCTCCGTGGGCTGGAGGAGCAGGAGGGAGAGGGTGGGGCGGCCGCTCGCTGCACGAGGTGCCCACGGCGGGCAGAGGGGCACAGCGAGGACATGGAGAGGGCATGGAGGGCACTGCTGAGCCCCCGCACTGGTGGGAGAGATGGGAGGCAGGGGACCGCTCTGACTGGCAAAGATGCTCCTGGCCTGCACATTCACCCTCTTATAACCTTAAGACCTTTTGACTTTCAAATCCCAAATGTGCATGGTGAGGAATTCAGCTTCCTGTTTTCTTGAGAAACAGAGAGTTTCGATCTAGCAATTTCTGAGCCTTTCCTCCCGAATGTTGAGGCCCCTCTCCCTCTGCCTGAGGGACGCCACACGGTGAGGGAAGTCCCGTGAACGTTTGCAGAGCAGCTGTGCCCAGCCGTACACAAACAAGTGCAGCGACGGCCCGAGCGCCGCGCACAGCTGGGGACTTTCCGTACATTGAAATGGACGGCGCCGTGCAGCAATGTGCCTCTTCTTTAGCCCTGGAGGCACCACCACCACCTTCCCGTCCCTGCCACTCATGTACAGTAGCGGGTGTCAGTGCTGGCCAGCCCCAAGGTGCCACTGAAAGGCTGGGCAGATGCACCAGTTTTTCGCACACCTCTCGCCCTGTTTTCCACCCGCTGGGCTCCCTCCCCAGGCCTCGCTAACTCTGTGCTGCCTGTGGATGTTGCCTCCTGCCCAGTCAAAATAGAAATTAGTCCCTACCAGAGCAGGTGGAGTTCATCTCCCACCCGCTGCAGCATGCAGGACAGTGCAATTCATCACCATTTCATATCTTTCCATCGCATGGTGCCTGGGACAGAATTTCCCAGGATGTGGGCTGGGGACCTTTGCCACTGCTGTGCTACCTGGAGCAGGGGCATCACATCCCAACCCCACAGTTGTATCTGGGCAAACTCTAGCAGGACTGATAGGGCTGGAGATGTGACGATACAGGAATTCATTGACCACTTCCATATGATGAGCGTGTCCAGAGGAAGACGACGAAGTTGGTGAAGGGTCTGGAGCACAAGTCTTATGAGGAGCGGCTGAGGGAACTGGGATTGTTTAGCCTGGAGAAGAGGAGGCTGAGGGGAGCCCTCATCGCTCTCTGCAACTGCCTGAAAGGAGGTTGTACCGAGGGGGGGGTCGGTCTCTTCTCCCTAGTAACGAGTGATACAGGGAAGTGTGAGGCTCCATCCCTGGAGGTATTTAAAGAACGGATAGATACGGTGCTTGAAGACATGGTATAGATGAACTTGGCAGTGATAGGTTGACGGTTGGACTCGATGATCTTAAGGGTCTTTTCCAACCTTGACGATTCTATGATTCTATGATCTTCTCTGGCCATAGCCACCGTACAGGGGAGGGCTCCTGGCTGTAGGATAAGGTCTGATAAGGGTTTCCTGCAGTCCTGTGTCCCGTGACATGGGCCAAGAGAACAGCTGCTATCCGTCATTAGACAACTCATGTCACGCAGGAGATTGGTCACCCTTGTTCGTTGCCGGAGATACTGACCTCAAAACAGGAATCAGCATCTCCTTCGACCTTGCCAAAAGTCTTTCCTCTCCTGTTCCAGCCACTGACCTGGCCTGGTGAAAGGGCAAGGGAATTTCTTTGGTTTTATGTACTCCCAGGAGAACTGTGTAGCCAAGTGACAGCCCCCAGGTACGACCCCAAAGCACTGGGTGGGTTAAACCCCTTCTCCAGGCTGTGACCAGGGCTCTCGGAGCATCCACTGCTCAGCTGGAGTCTGGCTTGCAGCCCAATGCCGCGGATGGAGGTCAGCCTGGCTCCCCGCCGGCATGCTGCCTGTGCGCATGCGCGTCCGCATCTGGACCAGCCGTGGGGTGCTGAGCAGGTGGATATGTGAGCTGCTGTGTGCTGAGGCTGTTGCAGGGAACCAGACCCTTTGGCTTTGCTTCTCCACTGCAATTTCTTACTGATGCCTCAGGGCTGATTCTGCCGGGAGCTGAGCTCTGGCTGGACGAGCGGGAGGCGCAGGACCTCCTCCCTTCCCCCCTGGCCTTGCCTGCCCGTGCAACGCTATCGCTGTCGGCATGCCAGCTTGGCTACGGGGCTGTGTGTACCCAGATCAGTGGGAGCTTTCTGCCTCTGCCCTTCTGCCTGCCCTTGGGACTGCAGGAGAGGCTTGGAGATTGCCTGCAGGCAAGGACACCATCCCTGCCTGTCTGCTTACCTGCTGTGGCATCACCAAGAGCCAAGGAGAGCTGGGCCAGGCAGGAGACATGTGGCTGGAGATGCTGGTCCCTTGCCTGGAGCAGAGAGGACCCTCTCAAGGGCGAGCTGGGACTGTCGGGCAGCAGATGTGACCTGATGGGTCCAAGTCTCATGGGATGGATTTTGTGAGGGTGCAGGGTACGATGGCAGCATGCGGGTGCCAGAGTGATGCAGCTCTGCATCCACCCCTGGAGGGGATGGCCACCCTGGGAACCCACCAGGGCATGGTCCTGCTCCCAGTCTGGGACTCCTATTAGCCACTGCCGTGCTTGCCCCAGTGATGCTGCTGGGAAGTGAGATGCTGAGCTGCCACTCAGCTGGTAGCTTGAGCAAGGCAGAGGGATGGGGTCCAGGCTGTGTGCAGAGAGGGACCTGAAGGGCTGCGACTGAGAAGGCAGGGCTGAAAAAGCCGATCTGAAAATCCCCCAGGGAGGGAGTGCTCAGAAGGAGAGGGTGTCCCAGCCCCGAGACTGCCGAGAGCCTCCCATAAGAGCAGCCATACACTGGGGAGTGGCTTCAAGCCCTTGTTAGGGAAGGCGAAAGTCCCATCTTGACAGGGCCCATATCCATTCATGAGATTTGCTCTTCAAATCTGGCCTTGCAAATGCAGAGGTGTGAGCTGGGGGTTGGGGCTGTTCTTGCAGGTTGGAGGAGGAATGGACTACAAAGCCAAGGCCGTTGCAGGTCTCCTGGCAGCCACCTGCGTCTTCAGCATCATTGCCCTCATTCTGAACGTTGTGAACGTGAAGGACGTGCTTCTGCCTCCCAGCAGCAAGGTAGGGTCCTTGGGAGGAGCACAGCTGCCCAGTCTCGCTTGGGTGCTGGCTGCCCCTTGGTAGAGGATTTACCCCAGGTTTGTGCTGTTTGTCACCGAGATGGGGACAAAATCCTGTGCAGGCTGGCATGCCAGGTCTGGCAGAGTTCAGTCACTGTGAGTGGCCCTACAGCACATACAGCCTTTTCATCGCAGAGCATCGCCAGCTCAAAGGGCTTGTGATGGAGCCTTGTCCCTGACACAGCTGGTGACTGCAATGCCACAGGGCTTTCCCTGCTCTGGTGACACTCTTCGTTTGGCCACTCAAGGTTCCCCTGCCCACCAGGAGCTCCGCTGGCGCTCCTGGAGCTTTGCTCGCTCTGCAGTGAGTGAACCTGGTTCTGC